CAACATGTGGATGACCTCCTCTTTATAGCCCCTCCTATGAGGAGTCACAGGCCCACACTGTTGCTCTCCTTAATTTCCTGGCATCCAGGGGATATAGAGTGTCCCCCAGCAAGGCCCAAATTTCTTCCCCTTCAGTCACTTATTTGGAAGTCCACCTCACCCCCAACACCAGAGAAATAATGGTGGATCACAAGAGTCTAATTTCTGAACTCCCTAATCCTACCATAAAGGGTGAAATCCTTTCTTTCTTGGGGCTTGCAGGGTGTCTTTGCCTATAGATTCCTAACTTTGGCGTGCTAGCAAAACCACTTTATGAGGCAGCCAAAGGGGATCCCGCCATTCCTTTAGATCCCACAAAGCCCATTCATTCTCCCTTCCAGTGATTAAAAGCCACTCTCCTCACAGCCCCAGCTCTATTTCTCCCAAACCTATCTCATCCTTTTATCCTATATGTCACCGAAACCCAAGGATTGGCAATCAGGGTTTTGGGACAAGAGGCAGGAGATATTTTCTCCCTGGTTACATACCTCTCTAAACAACTAGACACCACAGCCCAGGGATGGGCCCCCTGTTTACAGGCCTTGGCCGCAGCTGCCCTTTTAACACAAGAAAGCTCTAAACTAACTTTTGGGCAACAAACAGTCATTTGTTCCCTCCATCATCTTCAAGACCTTCTCAGCAATAAAGCTATGTCAATTCTCCCCCCTTCCTGCCTACAACTTACCCACCTTACTTGAAAATTCCCAGTTCTCCTTTAAACCTTGCCTTCCCTTAAATCCAGTCATTCTCATCCCAAAACATTCATGACCCTTAGAACATAATTGCATGGAGGCTTTAGACTTCTTTCTCAATCCCTTTCCACACATCTCCCTGCATCCCATTATGCAGCCCCAATGTACATGGTTCATAGATGGGAAGGCCACCTCCACACCTGCCCCCCGGGCAGGTTATGCCATAGTAAATCTAACACAAACTATTGAAGCTGCCCCCCTCCCCCCTAACACCACTTCCCAACAGGCAAAACTCATTGACTTCACCCGCACTCTCACTTTGGCAAGTAACAAATGAGTCAATACATACACTGACTCTAAGTATGCTTACCACATTCTATACCCCTGTGCAACCATATGGAAGGAGAGAGGATACATAACCATTCAGGGAGGGCCCATAAAAAATGGGCTTCTTATCAAGATACTTCTTGAGGCTGCACAAGTCCCAAAAGAAGTTGGGGTTATACACTCTATAGAACACCAAACCTCCAACGACCCCATAGCCCAGGGAAACAAACTGCCAGATCTAACTGCAAAACAGGCTGCTCAATCACCAGGCCCCCACTCTTCCTCTCCCACTCAGGTCCTTCTCATGGCCCCTATGCCCTAAACCCAATACACACTTCAAGAAATACAACACCTCCAACAGTTGGGAGCACAGAGGAAGGACCACTCGTGTACCCTCTCTGGTCGCTATGTCCTCCCTACCATACAAGCTGAGCAAATCCTTTTAGATGTCCATAATTCAGTTCATATAGGCTATGAACCCCTACTACACCTTCTTAGCCCTTCTATTACTCTCCACACATGGCCAAGTTACTTAAACAAATCACTCAAAATTGTCCATTGTGTACTCGCTCCAATCAAGGTAGCCTCCAAGTTTGGTCCTATCCCACCCACCAGGCCAGAGGATACACTCCTGGCTAGGACTGGCAAATTGACTTTACTCACATGCCTCCCCACAAAAGGACACGCTATCTTTTAACCTTAGTAGATACCTTTTCAGGTTGGATTGAGGCTTTTCCCTGCACTTGAGAGGATGCTACAGCAGTAACACATGCTCTTACCTCAGAAATCATCCCTCATTTTCGCTTACCCACCAGCCTCCAGTCTGATAACAGCCCAGCATTCATTTCCCAGATTACACAACTCACAGCACAGGCATTACATATCAGATGGGACTTACATATACCATAACAGCCTCAGTCATCAGGCAAAGTAGAAAAAGCCAATCACTTCATAAAAACACACCTCACCAAGCTGTCCATGGAACTTCACCTCCCCTGGACCCAACTTCTCCCTCTAGCACTCACTCGCTGTGAGCTGCCCCCCACAAGCCAACAGGCCTCAGCCCCTTTGAGTTTATGTATGGTAGACCCTTCACTCTCACACATCTCCCTTCTGGCTTATCGCCTTTAGGCCAGTATCTCCCTACTTTTTCACTCATAGGGATCTTCTTCAGGAACAGGCCAACCTTCTATTACTTTATCCTTTCCCCACCACCCCCTCAGACTTTAAATTGAGCCCAGGACAGCAAGTGTATATTAAAACCTGAATCCCAAAGCCCCTCTCACTATGTTTGGAAGGGCCTTATATGGTACTTCTCAACACCCCCACGGCAGTAAAAGCACTAGGAAAGGTCCCTTGGTATCACTTATCCTTGGTGAAACTAGCACCTGAGACTTTACTCAAAGAATCTAACACCAAGCCAGAGGGGTCCCTCTGCTCAACCCCCAACCCTTACAATTCATCTATTTTAGGACCCACAAAGTTGAAAATCTCCAGGACCTCTGTCTGCTCTTTCCCCAATCCCAGAAGAAGGATGATCTTTCCCCCGGTGATTATCCTCTCACTCCTGCAGGCCCGCTTCACATCCTTCACACAGTGACCTGCCACCTCCAGTGCTGAAGACATCCTTGAGTGGGTAAGTGAATTAGTCTGGCAGGGTGCCCTCTGCGATTACACCCCCAACGAGGCTACCCTCTACTCCTTTTTCCTACTATGCACCCTCTCAACCTCTCAGCCCCTGAACGCTTGCCTTTTCTCTTCCTCTTGCTTCTTTTCCTAACAGAGACATATGCCTTGTTGACAATGTATAACCAAGGTCTTGGTGGGTGGAAGGACACTTTCCAACCTCCTGCGTCTGCTATCCAGAATCTTCAGGGGAACCCTACATGACACATTCACATCTCTGACGTACGTTCCCACAATATGCTATGACCAGACAACTGCCACATCATGTTCTTACAGGGGTAAAAACTACTGGATAGCTCTTTCCAAAGGGGATTTTGCTGGAGTCCAGTGTCCCTCCCCCCAACAAAAACACTTCTGCTTCACCCAAACTACTGACCTAGGCTATAGCGATGGGGGAGGACTCCAGGACAAAACACCAAAACACGTCAGACCCCTGACCATGATGGGACTTATCCTTCTTGGTCCCTGCCTCTTTCAGTGTTTCTCTAGTTTCTTACAGGAACATATGCAGGCCTTCCCCAATCAAAAGGTCACTGGATTCTTCATGGGAGGAGGATATCAGCCCCTCAGAATCAGCAACCCTTCTGCAGAAGAATACAGCCTCCCCACACAAAACCAATACCCCACCACCTAATTGTTTTACCTACCAACATAAATCTTTTATTTTTTCATACCTTCGCCCATCTCCAGCAGGAAATAGCTTCAGAAGAATGAGACCTTTGCCCCTTTTCCCTTCTCCCTATTCTTAAAAGGCAGTAATGATAGGTTCTGGACGTGACTGGCACCATTTTACACACACTTAGCACAAAATGGCCTCCAGCCTTTCTCTTATGAGAAACCTTATGATTTCTGAGAAATAGAAACTGCTCCCCACCAGCACCAAACCCCTCCCTGATTACGTCAGCCTTCCTTACAGTCTATATAAGCTCTCCTACCCCCACACCTGGTGCTGTCCTCCATTTTGAGGGCAGTCCCAACTGTTCCCCATTTTGAGCGCAGCCTGGCAGATTTTTTTCCTTTAATAAAGCTTGATTGGTACCCAACATTTAGTCTCACTTTCTTTCACCAACAACTACTAATTATTCTTTATAACAATGCTGTTTTCCTAAAGACGTGTCCATTTTCTACCTGTGATAATTTTTTTAGTAATGATTTCAAGTTGAAGAAAGAAACATTTGCACTGAGGACAAGTTTCAGTCTCAGGTTTAGTTGCTTCACACACACCCTGCTTATTTCTAACATTTTTTGAAACATTCATCCCATAAAGGTATGGCTTTAGGACTAATTTCTTCAAGTTACATACTTAACTTCGGAGCTCATTTTAAGAAGGCATGTGTAGGGGTGGTTTGGAAAAGAAAGCAGGGCATAAAAAAGGCTCCTTTTCTCTGGTGACTGTGGTATAAAACAACGTAACGTGAAATGTCCAAGATCTGACAATAAATCTCCCTGAAGATTTATTTTACAGATCATTTTGAAAACACCAACTGTTCAGGAAGAGTCCCTCCTTTTCTAAAAAAATAAAATTTTGAAACAAGCTAGTATGTTTCAAAAGTGATACTGATGTTCTGTGGGAGCCCAGAGAAAATATTTTGTGTGGTACAGGTTAACATAAACTCTGAAGCTTTTTCATTCTGCAGAATAAAGCATTTCTTTCAAAAGCGAAATCTCTTAATTTCTTATTTTCTGAGTCATGATGCTGTTTTTTTATTAAAAGGAAAGAGAAATATATACAGCCCATTCCACCTCCTTGCTTCCCTTTCTGACAAGTCTCCTCGTGCCTCCCGACCTCAGCCCTCATTCTAAATTTTCTAGAAGCCCATGACTTTAGAAGATTCGGTGGTTATTGCTGCCTGTGCATGTGCAAGGTGTGTTGGAGGGGATGAGGGGAGGCTGGGGAAAGTACGTGACCAGGTAGAAGAGGGGAGAAAGCAGAAAAGGCCTACGCCAACCTGGGCAGGAGAGGGCGGTGGTAGAAGATGATGCGGACGCTCCCTAGTAACCAGAGAAGGGCAAACTCCAACCGTAAGACGGTGATGCCACCTGTGGGCTCTCAGATTGGAGAGGACCGAGAAGACTGGCAGGGCTGTGCGCGCTCAGGCACCGCACGCAGACAGGCCGGGTACTGAGGCTGTGCGTGTGCAGGCGGCGCGGGGGGAGGGTTCCTGCTGCAGTGGCCTCCTGAATTGGGGGGCGAGCTCGGCGCTGACGCGCGGCCCTCACGTGACCTGGAGCTGCAGAGCGACGCAGCCTTCGGTGCAGTCGTCATTCCCGTCTGGCTACCAGCTCCCCGCTGCCCTGCGCACGGCGGGCTGGCACGGGGCCTGGGGAAAGCGGAGCAGGTAAGGGCCCCGGCCCCGCTCGCGGAGCCCTGGGCTTCGGCTACTTACCCACCCCCGCGGCGGGCGCAGGGGAACAGAGCAGCGGGTCCCGCAGCTTTCTCCACACCCCAGCATTCTTGGGAACATAATGGCATGGGGGTCAAGGGTTGGCAGGGGTTTCGGGGGGGCAGCACAGCAACTAAGAGCGACGGGAAGTCACCTTCGACTCCCTGCAGGAAATCGGTGAACACAGCGCGGGGTCGGGGCAGCCGAGGGTGGGGGCAGGAGACGCAGGGCGAGGGCGGCGAGGAGGGCCCAGGGCTGGGAAGGGTCTGGATGGCGGCGGGTGGGCCCCGAGCGCTCGTCTGCAGCAGCCCCGCTCCCCCCACCCCGACCGTCTGCAGGTCTGCGGGGCTAAGTGTCCCGGCGGCGCACCTCGCGGCGAGAATCGGGAGGAGGAGGAGGAGACTGCACGGATAGACCCAGGTCGGTGCGAGGGACAGTGGTGGGGGGGGGGGGGGGGGGGGGGGGGGGAACACAGCGCGGGGTCGGGGCAGCCGAGGGTGGGGGCAGGAGACGCAGGGCGAGGGCGGCGAGGAGGGCCCAGGGCTGGGAAGGGTCTGGATGGCGGCGGGTGGGCCCCGAGCGCTCGGCTGCCGCAGCCCCGCTCCCCCCACCCCGACCGTCTGCAGGTCTGCGGGGCTAAGTGTCCCGGCGGCGCACCTCGCGGCGAGAATCGGGAGGAGGAGGAGGAGACTGCACGGATAGACCCAGGTCGGTGCGAGGGACACTGATCGGGGGCGGGGGTGAGGGACGTGTGGGAAGCCCAGTCTGAGACCCCAATCCCTCCCCTTCCCGTCCCTTCATCTCCACCGCCATCCCCGTCCTCCATTTTGATGCCTGCAGGGGCCTGGGAAAGAATCCTGGGAAAGGAAAAATGGTGGGCTTTGGGGGAGGGAGGTGCTCGAATTTGAGGCCCCCTAGAGGGCGCACGAGGCTTCTAAGTTGGGGAAAAATGAAATAAAAACCCTTTGATATCAAGACTCTGAATTCTGCTGGTCAGTACACCAAGCATTCAGTCTTTCTACTTGCCTCTGTCTTACTTGTGTTCAAAGAAAAACAACCAGAAATAAAATCTCATCATGGCAAATATCCACCAGGAAAACGAAGAAATGGAACAGCCCATGCAGAATGGAGAGGAAGACCGCCCTTTGGGAGGAGGCGAAGGCCACCAGCCTGCCGGAAATAATAGACGGGGACAGGCTCGTCGACTTGCCCCTAATTTTCGATGGGCCATACCCAATAGGCAGGTCAATGATGGGATGGGTGGAGAAGGGGATGATATGGAAATCTTCATGGAGGAGATGAGAGAAATCAGGAGAAAACTTAGGGAGCTGCAGTTGAGGAATTGTCTGCGTATCCTTATGGGAGAGCTCTCTAATCACCATGACCATCATGATGAATTTTGCCTTATGCCTTGACTCCTGCCATTTTCCTTGAGGTTAATACTATGATTCCCACTGTTTTCTTTTTCCTTGCATTTTCCTAATATGCCTTTACTGATCTGTTTGCTGTGAACCTTATGTTATTTCCTTGTGTCAGGCGGGTCTTGTGTTGCCAGCTTCTAATTGGAGATTGCCTTTGCACCCAGTCTAAGTTTCTGTCAGCAGTAAAGTTTCACCCATTTGCACGGAAAAAATGTAAAGTTAATAAAGCAATTAAAAAGCAATCTATACATTTACTGTCTCATTAAAATATATATATACTTAATATATAACAAATGAATGAAAAAAAATCAAATTAAATAACCAGAGTGTTAATTGGGGCACATTACTGTGTCATAAGATGGCATGTGACATTTTTTTCTATTATCTGGAGTTTGAGAAGCAATGAAAATAGTTTTTCAAAGAGTCTAGGAATGTAGTGCAGGTACATAACAATTACAGTCTTAACAAACTTAAAGAAGAGTAAACCTTAAGTATCTTCCAGTCTTAACTAGAAGAATAAACGCTCCCTTTATCACAGATACATTCCTTCAAAGAGTCCGTTTTCTCTTCTGTGAAATGGGGAACAGTGCTTGTCTTGGCTGCTGAGTGGAACAGATGAGGTGCGGAACTGTTTGGGGCTGGCTCCTGTCCAATTCCCTGGCATTTAACAGGACCCAGGCCCCCATCAGGTACTTGGGGAAGATTGAAGGGAATTCTCACCCATGCTCACAAGTCCACACAGCAAAAATAGGTGGATTCCCCTATGTCATTCCTTTCTTATCTGTAGTCCTGCTCCCCTGATTACTGCCTTGTTGGTTGGGCATACTTTCCCTTCTGCTGGGCCCTTTTTCTGTTTATTGATGACATGCTAGAGTCCTCAAGATAACAACTCACCCCCCAACTCAATTTCTCGAGTCCCTGGTGAGTCAAATCCTCCCTTTGACCTCTATAGAAATGTGGAGTATGCCTTTATTTATAATTGTAGAGTTATATTTATCTGGGTGAGTACAACTCTCATGGTTCTTGGGCTTACGTTGGTTCTTAGCAAGATAGCTCTTTCTGTTTTTATTTTCATGCCTCTCTTCAAAGAACCTGAGACATGAATGCACTGGGGCCTACCTCAGGAGATTTATATAGGTTTCTCACCAGGGTGTGTCATGAACTGCATTACTGCAAACGTTCAGAATACAAAGAGGCTGAAGGCTTTGTTTTTGCCTGTGTTTCTAACCTTGATGTGTATTTTCTCAAAGGATACCCTTGGCAGGCCTGCACACCCAGTTTAACAGACTGATCAAGACATGTAAATTACACTGGGGAAAAATACATTTTTGAAATGTATTTCAAAATTTTGAAACACACTCCCTATCTCCATCCCATCCACACCTGAAACAAGAAACTGCTCCATAAGTTCTTAAAAACTATATTAAGTGTTTGGCATCATGATTTCTCTGTAAGTATTCATCCTTCTCCAGACAGTGATTTTTTCATAATCATCCTGGAGCTCAGTTTCTAGTGCCTGACATAGTAGATATTAAATTATTCATTATTTTATTGGTTAATTAATGGAGTTAGAAACTCTACTGTTCACAACTAAATGTCCTTAACTAAGTGGCCTGAGGCAAATAACTACCTATCTGGAGAGTATTACATTTAATTTCAAAAGAAACATACTAAGGAAAGTCTCTTACCCAAAATCTGTAAACTTTTTTTAAACAGCTTGTATATGTTAGTCTTTAGGGGAACACAGACCCTTACTTGCATCATAATCACCTAGGGAAAATGTTAAAAATGCTGACAACTGGGTGTCCTTGCCACCCCCAACCTGCCATTTTCACACCCTGAGTCACCTGAATCAGGAATTATTGTTTGACAGTTCCCCTGGTGATTCTCATGCATGTGAGTTTTGCCACATAGGCATACGAAAACAGTGACAGTAATTACCCATTTTACAACCATCATGATCTAAATTATCTTACTTGATTTCACAATGAATATATGATTCCAAAATATAGCATTCCTAAACTTGAACTAATCAATATATGTCAATGTTTTAGCCAGTACTGTTTTTTTATCTTTCTAAATATCCTAGTAAAATAATGCATTATCATGAATTGATTGTTAATGATAAACTTATAATAATTATAAGATTATTAAACAAATTATGCATTATCATTTGTATGCAAGCCTGTGCCATTTCACAACAATGATTTTGTCTTAATCACCCTGGAGCTTAGTTTCTAGCACAGTGCCTAATATAGTAGATATGTAATAACAATAATTCATTTGATTATTCATTTATTTAATTATTAAATTATTTTATAATTGTAATTTATCTAAAATAATATATAACCAATTACAATTTTTGTATCTTTATGGGTGGCTTATTTTTTTGTACTCATGTTTTCAAGTTTCTATGAGGAACATTTTTTTTTTATTTTGTCAATATACAATGTAGTTAGTTATTGTGTCCCATCACCAAAACCTCCCTCCCTCCTCCCTCTCCCCCCTCCCACCCAGATGTGTCCCCTATGAGGAACATTTTAAAAGGTAATACTTTTTATAATTATTTATGTAATACAAATTCATTATACATATTCGGATTATGCAGAAAATATAGGAAGAATATAAACAAAACTATAATCCAATCATCCAAAAATACCACTTCTAAATTTTTTTATGTTCATTCTATATTAAGTCACGATAAAGCCAGGCTCAGAGCCTCTTATGAGAAACACTACCTCTTTCAAAGCTCTTGCCAAGAAGACATGTTTAGCTTGCCAGGTTTATTTTGTTTTTATCTCTCTTCATTCATCAAAGCTAAATAGATCACATTTGATCAATTTTCAATTAGCTCCTGGTTTTCAAAACTGTCAAATTATCACATTTCAGCAGGTCTACTCTCGGTTGGCAAATCTGGGAATATTTATTTAATAGAACTGGACAGATTTATTTATGAAACTTTTAACATTGTCCCAGAACTAGAGAAAGTATTGGATTACATAAATGACAAAATCCCATCTCTACTCTGTCTCCTTTTTTGACTGATTTAGTTTAGATTCAGTTTTTAAATTTTCTGATAGCATGTAATGTAGTTGCTATCTAATGTGTAACCAATAAGAATGCTTTCTAAGTGATATAAATATACATAACCAAATAAGGCATCCCTACAAACTTGAAAAGATAATATTTATTTTTATTTTGGATTTTTCCCCAGGCATTGTTTGAAAAGTTATAATTAGCATGTTTACAAATTTACTCTTTCCCTTGTAGCTGATAATACAATAGAAAATATTTTCTATTTAGTAAAAATAAACTTTGCTGAATTTTATATGAAGAGAGAGATCTGGACTGGCCAGGTAGCTCAGTTGGTTAGAGTGTGGTACTGATAACACCAAGGTCCAGGGTTTGGTATGCGTACAGGCCAGCTACCAAAAAAAAAAAGAAAAAAAGAAATCTTCATATGTATGCCTATTTAAAAAAATCTTTTTCCAACAAATCAAAAGAGCTTTATTGTGTTTCTGACTGTAAAGTAATGCATTCTGAAGTGGGTTCTGTCATTTTGGAACAGAAGAAAAAATGTATTAAGAAAATTTAAAAATCCTATTTTTAACATGTTTCTTTTCCTAAGATCACATGAGTATCAATTTTAAGTTTTTATCTATGCTTTCCTAAATTAATAATTATTACTTAGTTTCTAATTACATTAAAGTTTGATTTTTAAAAGAGGAAGCAAACTAATATGTCCGTCAGATTAAAAGGCAGTGAAGAACTTGAAATCTTGTTGAAAAGCAACAACAAACAGGAATAATGAATTTCAAATTACTTCTGGATCTTTCAGCTGACAATATAAACTTAGTAGTTATTACTACAGCAATGCTTTAGTCTTTACTCTACTCAGTGGTAAAATGGATATAATAATTTCTGGGGCTGCTGTGGGAACCAAAGGAGGTAGAGAGCATGTGAGATGTTTCTGACTGTTTCTTGTTTATATCTGCATATACAAAACCCAAGTCTCTCAGATTCACTTCAGCTGTTGGCAGTAGTATCCCAGCTGTATGTCACAAACCCACTCCATTCCTCTGCTATGGTGAGCCACCCCCTCCCCATGGTTCTGCACTCTCAACTGACCCTAGCCACTACAGATTCCTCTAGACACTTCAATGTGCCAGTGTCCCAGTTTATCTCCTACAGAGACCTTCTACCTCACTTAGAGTTATACTAGCTTGGTTGGGTACCCTTAGTGATGCTTGGACCATGGTATGTTGTATATTTTTAGCAAAAGAAGCCTTTTTCTCAACTTGTGTTTGTGGGTTTTGTTTGTGTGCACCCAGCCCCCTCTTCTCCCAAACATTCAGATATTAGGGACGAGTCTTGCTTTTTATCTACTCTGACAATCTCTCATGTAATTAAAGGGCTTAGACAATTTCCACTTAAAGTGATTGTCAATATATTTGTCAACCACAATTAATGCTATTTTTTCAGGCTTTTTTCTCTCTGTTTCATTTTGAATTGTTTCTATTGCTATGGCTTCAGATTCACTCTTTTTTTCTTCTGCAATGTCTAATCTGCCATTCGCGCCATTGAGCAATTTTTTTTTTTTTTTTTTTTTTTTTTTTTACTTCAGACATTGTAGTTTTTATCTCTACATGTTCAATTTGGGTCTTTTTAAAACAGTTTTTTATATTCCATGTCTCTACTAACGTTCATTCTTTTCTCTAGCTTTTTAAACATACACAGTGCAATTCTAATATCTACCTTAATGTCTGTATTAGACCATTGCTGTTGCTTATAACAACATACCTGAAACTGGATAATTTATAAAGAAAACAAAATTCATTGCTTACAGCTTCAGAGGCTGGGGAGTCCAAAGTCTAGGGAACATATCTGGTGAAGGCCTTGGCAGTGACAGTGACACAGGAGTCTCACATGGCAGAATGATGGAGAAAAGAATCCTTATGTGGTCTCCTTTTAAAACTCTTAGAACCACACCCATGACTGCCATTACACCATAAAATAGATTAATCCATTCACTATGGCATGACCCTCACAGTCTAACCACCTCTTCAAGGCCCCACCTTTTAATTACCATAAGAGGATTTCCTACCCTCAGTGGTTACAGTGGGTGTTAAGCTTCAATGAGTTTGGGGGAACATTCAATCTACAGCAGTGTCAGTATCTAATTCTACCATCTTTGTCATTTGGGGGTCAGTTTTCATTGCTTGATTTTTCTCCTCAAGATGGATTAT